AATGGAATCAAATTTTATGACCAGTTGTGGAAAAAAATATCACTTTAATGGACAATTTCCATGTAAAACAAAGCCAAACGAATAGAAAATTTAAAAATTTTCCGGGTGGAAAATTATACCAATCAAACACACTTGAAATCATTTTCCCTACAAAACATTTTTTAACCAAATCTTTTCCTATAAAACATTTTCTTTCCATCCATTTTTCACCCTTACAATCAAGCGCACCCTAAAGGTTTGTGGTCAAATTTAATTTTCAAATACAAATTACATAGGATTCACGACTATACTAAATAGATAACGTAGAAAAGTACCATAGAATTAATATACATTCAGTTTACGATTTTAGCATGTTCAGAGTGCAGCTCAAATATTAAATTTGGTTCATGAATAATTTTAGTAAACTTCAATTATAAGTGTTCAGAGTTGGTTTATTACTGCAAGAATCCTCCCTGTAAACCAATTTTGCTTATGATTTACTTGAAATGTTTTCTCATCGTTTCACTTCAAGTTTATCAATTTCTAATCGTTTCAATCCTCCCTTGTCACCTTAGCTTCTCATTCTTCTTCTGTTGTTTGTAAAATCTCTCAAACTTGCTTTTGGAGTTTCTGCTTTTGAGATTTGTTCAAATGCAATTTTTTTAAAAATTAAAATTATATGATAAACCTGAAAAAGAGTTTACGGTTTTTTTATTTTTACGCTTTTGTGTGTGTGTGTGCAAGCGCGCTTTAGTCGACCTATCTTGAGTCTATGGTACTTCAGAACTTTAATAAAAAATTTCCATAGTTACTTTCATATAGTTGCTCCCAATAATCATAATCTTCCATGTTCCATCCAAGAATCAGAGAAATTGATAATTCGAATTTGCCTATTCACTCATACTTTATTTTTGGTTGGTTTTAAGAACCCGACACCAAATTTGATGCCCGAAATATATATTCTCAAAATATTGTTTTTAATTTCGGCCCTAAGTTTAATTTTACATACCAAATATGTCTTTGTGTGAGCACCATTTTATGTGAAAATATATTTTGAAATAACGATTTTTTGGAGATTTTGATTAAAAAATATGGAAAAAGTTTTCAATTTGGGTGTGTTTGAACCACATTATTTTGGAAGAATGCATTTTGGAATAATAGATTGATAGAAAATGTGTGGTTGTAAAAGAAGGAAAAGTTATTGATGTGATGGAAAATATTATTTTATTGAAGAATGTGTGGTTGAAAATGAGTAGAAGAACGAAAATGAAAAAAATAATGCGGTCCAAACAGGGGGTTATTTGTAAAATTATGAGTAATGATATTTATTACTATGATGATAGAATATAGGTGATGTGACAATACATTATTCTCCCACATTTTTCTCTCTCCCTCTTTCTACCCCCCTCTCACATAAAAGTTGAACAGTCTAGTCCCATTATTTCGCATAGGCGGCCACATCGTCGATATTTTATTATCATAATGATAAATAACATTATTTTAAAATTATTTTATGAATCAACGTGGTTAAAAATGAATTTTGGAAAAAAAAAGCGAGTTTTTGAAAAAAGAGGGTCACCATATTTTTTTTTTTTTTTGAAATGCAATTTCATTAAAGTCGCAAAATGCGGATACAAGGAGGAAAACCCTCCAACACATAGCTCTCCTAAGAGAGATTGAGTGCAACCATATCCAAGCAACAACAGACTAAACAAAACAAGACCCAACAACTGACAAAACAATAACAATACAAGACGCAACAACAGACGAAACAATACAAGACCCAACAACAGACTAAACAAAGCAAAGTCGAAAAACAGCTGTGACTTTACAATACAGGAAAAATCCGACTTAAAGCCAACTACGCGTTCAGCACTTGAGCACCCCCGCACAGAAAGTAGCGGACATTGTCTGGACTTCACCATCGACAGAACAAAGCAACACAAACAATCGACAACCAAACACAAACTACAAACACACAGAACAACCCAACAATCACTGAACACCACCTGTCAACCACCGACTCCCCGCCATGCCCCATCCGAAACAACGCCGGAGCCGCACGACCAATCAACCACAACAAACCAAACCACAACAACCAACAAGAAAAAACAACACCAAAGGCCGGCTTGAGGCACCCGGCTCTTCTCCTCCTGCCGTCAACAGCAGCTCGGAAAACCACAGCTGGACGAGGACCCAGCTCTCTCACGGAAAACTCAACCACCGCAGCGGTGGTAGGTCGTACGGTGCCAGCCATACCTCGACCGGCACGTCCAAAATCTGCGCGACCATCGGAGAGAAAACCGCCTCACCTCTACCGGACAGACACATCCACACACACAAGACATGACACACACACACACACAAGACACCAAGACAGAAAAGAGGGGAAGGGAAAAGGGAGGGGGGAGCCGAAGCTCACTCCCCCATCGATCGCAAAGTAAGGGTTTACACATAGAGGGGAAGGGGATTAAGGATTAAAAAATTTATTCAAGAGGGTCACCATATATCAATTTAATTCTGTGATATTGTCCTCAAATGATTGCAAGTACTAATAAATATGTCTTAATTATTTAATTAATTACGTCGAGGGTGATTAATGACAAATTAATTGATTAATTAATATAATTAAACAATATGGTCCATTATCAAATTGGGTTGCACACGTGCGTGGCATGAATTAATTGGCTTTTCCACCGCCAATGGACATCGACAAAATGACACGCGGAGTTTGTGTGTGTATATAATGGGGGCTGCAGCAGCGTAGTCTTGAAGCGACTATTCATTTTTTCATCGCAATTCGTACAGATTACAGCGTTTTTTCGGATCGAAGGTTCGTAACCGTAAATCGAAGCTATTATCGATTTTCCCCAATCTCCGTGAAATTATTTTATTGTTGTTTCCATGTTTTTATACCTCATACGTGCGTGTATAAATAAGATTTTGAATTGATCCGACGGTTGATTTTTAAAAATTTTCTAGCGATTTTAGTATGTATTTTTTTTTAAGGTTTTGTTAGTTATAATGCTTTGATTAGATTATTTCTATATACATATATTTTTTTTTTTGCTTTTTTACTAATATTGGTACTAGTACATGTCTAATTTTTTTTATTATTATTTTTTAATTTGTGTTTTGAGTTGCTTTTTTTCCTTGTTTTTATGAATTTTTATTTTTTACTTTAATTTTGTGAGTGGGTTTGGTACTTATAGATCCTATGATTATGAACATGTGAAAGTGTAGATAATTTTCCTGCGATGTGCGGCGCTGGCTGTTTTATTCTTTCTAAGAATAATTTTATGTTGTTTCTGTTTTTGTGGTAGGTTAAAAGACGCATATTACTTCATTTGATATACCTTTAATTTCAAATTAATCTTCAGGGTTATCCACTTATCATTGAATTTGTGCCCGTTGTTTCCTGGTGATCCTTGGGGCAAATTACATGGAATTTGGTCAAATCTTGAAAAACACCCGGTAGATATAGGTTGGACTTGGTGTATGAACGCAGCATTATTTGTCTTTCTGGGCAGGGTGTGTTGTAATTGAATTTTTTGTTTAGAAATTTATCTGGATTTATTGTATTCTGTAGTGCTTATAATGGTTGAGTTTTGTGTTTGGTTTTGTAGAAAATACAAAAATTAAGTTGTTAGCTTCCACTGTGTTTTTCTGAAGCTAAGAAGTTTGTGGATGTTGTGATTCATGTTTTATTTTGTACCTCCGAATGAGTTCTTCATCATGTTTGGTACATGCAACAAAATACTTGTGATTGGAATCCACAAAAGAATCTGCAAATTTGCTCAGAAGAGAATTCTGATTTCAATAAGGCCTTAATCGTACTACACCCCCGAACATGTCGATCTGGAGATTTTTGTACATAATAGGTGTAATAATTCAATTAAGGCAAAATAGGATTCCTTTTTGTCGATATTTTATCTAGATGACGAGCACAGTTTTTTTTGTTTCTCTTGTAATGATTTTGTTATATTGCGATCTCTGTGCTGATGACTATATATATATGTTGTTACACCGAGTTGCGCAATTTATTACCAGTTAACTAGTTACACTCATGACGATCCCAACATGGTTGACCTAAAAATATTCTGCATTGGATATTTCTATACAGGTGATTGAAACGTAGAATATCTCTGATGGCTTCAAAGAGGATCCAGAAAGAGCTTAAGGACTTGCAGAAAGACCCTCCTGTGTCATGTAGTGCTGGTTTGTTATCTTTTCACCCCATGTTTCTACCTTTTGTCTACTTTGCAATGTTTTCTTTTACTGCTTTGGAACTTTAAAAGTTGGTTTGCTAATTTGAGTAAGAGGCATTAGAGCATCTCAAAGAGACTATTTTTAAGGAGTAACTTAGTGATAACAGGGAGCATCTTTAATTTAAAGAGTAAAAATACAAACCAACAAATTCTTTATTTCTGCTCTTTATTTTACTTTTCCCAAAATTCATTTTTTGTTTTTCCCTCATTTTTCAATTAATACACATATTTTTTAGATGTCAATAGCTAAAATATTCAATTTAAGTAGTGGAAGGTTGTAACATGCAATCTTGATAAATTACAAATAGAGAGTGAGTTTGGCTCTTCGAATGTAGAGAGTCACTCACTCTCTATTTTAAAAATCTCTTGAAGCCTAATTTTAAATGTATGACTCTTCAAAATAAAGAGCATATCATGCTTTTAGTGTTATTCACTGCTGAAAATTAGGAAGTTGAACTCATAGAAGTTATACTTAAAACTCATTGTCACTCTCCAAGCAAGGAGGGAAGGGGATTGCTTGCACGGATGCACCTACTCTTGTGAACTGCATATTCAAAATATTTTGTGTGTGTGTGTGTGTTTCCCTCTTTAAAGACCTGGTAGCCATGTTCATGTTATTGTTTAGGATATTGAATCATGTATGGACGTATATGATATGGGTTCAGCTTGTGGCTGTTATCAGAACTCGTTATGTTACTCATTTGCACTTCTATATTTAGCCTCTGTTTGGTGGGGATTAAAATCAGATTTTTAGTAGATTTTGATATACGTTAATGAAATGTGTGGTTAAAAAGTTGTGGATCCCATTAAATGTGATTAAAATTAATTGTTGGTTTTAACTTATATTTTAATCCGTACCAAACAGGGCCTTAGTCTTATATGTTGCCTTCCTTCATTTTTTCATCTATTCATTTATCAGGGGGTTAGATGGACTAGTTGTTACTTCTTGGCACATAATTAGGTTTTGACCATTGAGTTGAATGTGATCTCTGGAATTCCGATCTGTAACCTGTTTTTAAAAGTCAGGACACCCTTTTTTAAACTCACGCTACTACTGCAACTTTTTCAGGTCCCGTTGGCGAGGACATGTTCCATTGGCAAGCTACTATTATGGGACCTTCAGACAGCCCATTTTCTGGGGGAGTGTTTCTTGTGACCATTCACTTCCCACCAGATTATCCTTTCAAGCCGCCCAAGGTATTTGCGTCCTTGTTCAACTGTTACAAGTTTGGCCTTTCAGTTATACTTCATATGGCAAATAACACTTCTGGACATAGTGGATGTGTTAGTACAAGTAGGATATAGACTTCACAACGTTACCCAAATCTTACTCTATATAGATGAAATGAATATAGTCTGTAAAAAAGAAACTTCAAAACTGCTTGAAGTGTAAACTTTACTTGTCCAACTAGTACTGCCTAGTACAAGATACAATATTCTAGTATGGACAGAAAGCGGCTTGCTGCAAGTTACAGAATTCTTGGTGGATCGTGTTCCATTCTCGTATTGGATGTGGGCTTATTCTGCCTCACAGGTGTATGGAATAATTAAATGTACAATGCTTTCACTCCCAGATGCACCTTCAGAGATGGGTAAAATAAGCCCTTTCTATTACACTTCCTTGATAAATCAAACATTACATCATTTTAACATCATATTTGCTACATGTACATTTGACATCCTTCGATGTGACAAAATCATGGGCATTGATTTGAACATGCAACCTTTTACTAAGAAAGTAGTTCTTTAGATTCTTTTGTTTTTGTTACATGAAGGTACTGTTACAGCAGCAACAACTGTTCTTTCATATCTTCTCTTAAATGATTGTGTTTTACGGTTTTTTAGAAGCACATTGGATGTTCATTTCCTCTTTAACCATGATCTGTGCAGGTCTCTTTCAAAACCAAAGTTTTCCATCCAAACATCAACAGCAACGGCAGTATTTGCCTTGATATCCTCAAAGAGCAATGGAGTCCTGCCCTTACTATATCCAAGGTAACACGAGTTTGTTATTGGCATTTCTCAATATATTTTAACATTTTGTTTACAACCATCACCCAACTTTTCTCGTGGTATCATGTTAGTGGCATTTCTCAATATATTCATGAACAGACACTTGATATTGGTAGTTACACTCATTGTTGGAGATTGAATCTGTTTGATGTGCGCATTAATGACAATAGGATGATAATGGTTGCTAGCAATACTTTTTATCAGGTGCTGCTCTCGATTTGCTCCTTGTTAACTGATCCAAATCCCGATGATCCTCTTGTACCTGAGATTGCTCACATGTACAAGACTGACAGAGCCAAGTATGAGACTACTGCTCGGTCCTGGACTCAGAAATACGCAATGGGATAGGAGGTTAAATGTCTATGTTGCATTTTATAGCGGGCAGTAAATAAATAGGAAAAACAAAACTATTATATGCCCCTATTAAGGATTTTGGTCATTTTTAGCTTGTCCCCTTGGCTTGGTGGATGCAAAAAAAACTGTTAAAACTGTATCGAACTGGTATGGGAAATTGTCTTTTCTAGAGTTTGTGTGGCATTTTGCCTCTATTTCATATTTAGTCCTTGTTTGAGCACCATTTTATTTGAAGAAAATACATTCTTGAATAGTGCGTTGACTTCATTTCAACCACATATTCTTCAATAAAATAATATTACACGTAAACTCAAATTTTTTCCTTATTTTTAACCATACATTTCCTATCAACACACTACTCAAAAAATGCATTTTTGACAAAAATGAGCTCAAACAAGCCCTAATATTTCTAGAAGCATGTTACTGAGCCACACAACCATTCTTTTAAAACTCCCTTTTTTCATACTCATTTTCATTAACTCAATTCTCAC